TATCAGATGGCCCAGTGCGCTGGCGCAAACGGACTTTTGTCCGTTTTTTGTCCGCTTTCGACTCATCCCGGTCCTAGTTTGGGCCGTTTTTAAGGTAAAACGGACAACGCACGGGTAGGACGTGCGCGCTTGTCCTTCCCTGGCTCGCGTGGCACAAGGCCGACGTCGACGAGAAGGAGGCCATCGTCAACAAACTGCATGCGTTCCTCATGCATGGGATGTGCCGTCCGGCGAGCTTCTCGACAGCGCTCGTCGGCCCGACGAGCACAGGCTCGTCGGTTGCCCGGCCTCCGCAGTGCCCCTCGCCGATGCCATTGTCGCCCGGTTTTCCTCCGCCAAGGTACGAAGGCCAGACCCGTTTCTCGGGGTCGTCAGACTGCAGCGCGATCGCGTCGTTGTCGGGGGTTGGGTGCGACATATGCCAATGGATGGTTTATCATGGTGGGGGCGAGTAGAACATCGCCGGTGCCTGGAAACGGGATGAGGCGTAGACACGAACGCCGGCGTACTTTACCCAGGTTCGGGGCTCTCCTAGGAGATAACACCCCTAGTCCTGCTCTGCGGGGTCTCCGCATGATCACTAAGGCAAAGTGAATACAAGGGCGCTCCTCGAGCTGTATGCTGAAGGTAGGAGAAGGCAGAGTCAGTTCTCTCCCCCTCTATGATCTGGTCTAGTTCTAATGGATCGGAACCCTTTGCATGGGTGCCCTCGGGGGTTTATATAGGCCTACCCCCAGGGGTACAATGGTAAACTGTCTGGGCGCAGGGCCCAGCCGTCAGTCTCTTCGCCTGCCGGCCCTTCCGCCGACTGCTGGGGCCCGCCGACTGGTGGGCCCCGCCGACCGGTCTGGTACGGAGCCGACAGGCCGTACCCGCCGCTTGCGGGTCTTGCCGGCTACTGATTACTGTAGCCGTGCCTCTAATGATGCAGACTCGGTCATGGGGTCGTGGCTACAGCCCCGCCGTCTGGCGGGTGATCACTGTAGTCACTCCCCATCTTGTCTGGTTAATGGCGCGGGGAACCCGCGGGAGGGGCAGGCCGACTTTCTGGGGTCGGCTCCCCGCGGGTCCGACTAGTGGCGCTCTTGCCGTCTTCTGGACTCTCGCTGACTGGTAGGGCCCGTCATCTGTGGACCGTACTGACAGGCCGTCATGGGCACAGGACTCCGCCCACTGTTGCTGATGTCAGGGATGGCATGGCAACAGTGCCGCGCCAGACGGAGATCTCCGTTGGTATAGCGCACTGTGGCCTAGCCATCTCCTGAAAAAGGGGAGGGAGTGGGCTTCACTGTTGCCACTCCCTATCCCATCCCCCCTGATGAGGGCATGGGCTTTGTTGGTGCCGTGGGCCGACTCCCCGTGGTCGGCTTCTCTGAAAGCCGCCAGGTGGGAGTCAGCCGGTCTTGACCTTGCCTCTAGGACTCGGACGCATGCGGGCAGCCCACTGTTCCTTCAGCCGTCCTCCAGAAGGCGGCTCTTCATTTGTCGTCTCGAGGGGCGCAGTCAGCCCCGATGTCTTGAAAGGTTTTGGCCTCGGGTTAGCCTACCCGTGGCCCATTACTCTGACAGTAGTCCCCAAAGCCAATGAGGCGCCACGGACAACCAACCGAGGAGCCTCAGCAGTTTCTTTCTCCGAGTATTTGAGGTGAAAACCTCGTTCGATTTCTGCCGGGCCGACTGGCAAGAGTCGGACTCACCCAATTTGACTTGTCCAAAAAAAAATTCGAATGCCCTGGCGGGATCCCAGTGGGGTGCTTGCTAAGCTTCCAGGCCGCCGCCCGTTTCGGGCTCGTCACATGGCAACAAGCGGCCAGGCGAGTCTTGCCATCCACATGTGCGACGGGACATGCCTACGGGTGGGGCCCGCCACTACCGCGCCTCGGCGCACGAGCGGATCCGTTGCGGCCGGAGTGGACATTTGAGGTTCCCGCGGAGTTACTGCGCGCAGTAACTTTGCGCGATAAACGTGGGGGTGTGGGGTAGTGGGCGCAGTAGATCCCACAACCGCCCCCTCGGCTTCGCAACCATGAGGCTATAAGTAGGTGGAGGAGGGGAAGCGGCGGAGCATGCGCGTCCCTCCTCCTCATTGCTTCTTCTTCTTCTTTTCTCTCGCCGCTGCACCTCAAGCTACGTCGAGCGCTACGGTGGTCTGCTCACGATGAGCTCTTCCTCCGCCGTCACGCCACCTACGGCGCACTCCGGCACCTGGGACGGTTCGGAGGTCCACGACGATCACGTCGATTTCCTCCGCAAGACGCGTCGGCTGCCCGGCGAGGACCTCGTGTGGGTCCGCCTCGCGCGGAGGGGGGAAATCTCGTCGGCGCCGCAGGACAGCGAGCGGGTCGTCTTCCGCTCGCACTGCCTACGCGGCCTGGGCTTGCCGGCAAGCAGCTTCTTCCGCTCTTTTCTTGAGTTCTACGGACTCCAGCCGCACCACCTCACCCCCAACATGGTGGTGCTGCTGTCCGCCTTCGTCACCTTGTGCGAAGGCTTCCTCGGCGTTCTCCCCACCATCGAGCTCTGGGGGGAGTTCTTCTACTCCAAGCTCGGCACCCAAGCCACGGGCGTGCCGGCTCAGTGCGGCGCGTTCATCGCCGTGAGGCAGCCGCAGTTTAAATTTGACCCGCTTCGAGCTGAGTCGGCGGAAATTTGTCTTTTTCACCAGAGGTGGATCAAAACTTTTTACACCCAACCATTTGGTCAATTGTGCATTAAGTATGGCCTAGTATTTTATAAAAATGATTTGGTCCAATTTTGCAACAATTATTTGGGAGGTCCTTCACAAAAAATCTCCTTTTAGGCACTCGAAAAATGGAAAATGGTTTTTTCGTCCAAAGAAAATGAAAACTTCCTTAGGCAACATTGTTTGTCATTCCAATATGCACCCTTGTGCATAATATCAGATCATTTGAACAAACTATGCCATGAATGTGGCCATAAGATTGATCATCTCGCTTGAAAGTCATAAATCTTCACACATGATAGCTCATTTCTGAGAGCATTTTTTTAAAACAATTGTCATATTACAAGTTTATTATTTTTCCTGGTAACTTGGCCACATATAATGATACAATGCGAAGGTTTTCTAATTGTTTATTTTTTTTATTTTTCATGCCCGTTTCAAAATGCGGTCAAAACGGCGGGCATGACCGTTCCTAGCTAGTGGTTGAATCTTGAATTTTTTTTTGGTATTTCTCTGATTAAATAGATACTTATGTACCTAGAAATTTTTTTTAGGAGAAATAAAGAGCAAACTATGAGGCAGCTGCAGTTCAAATTTGACCCGCTTCCAGTTGAATGGACAGAAATTTATTTTTTTCACGAGAGGTGGATCAAAACTTTTGACACCCAACCATTTGGTATCATGCATTAAATATGGCCAAGTATTTTGAAATTTGATTTGGTCTAATTTTGCAACAATTATTTGATAGGTTCTTCACAAAAAACTCATTTTGGGCACTTGAAAAATGAAAAATATTTTTTTTGTCCAAAGAAAATAAAACTCCCTTGGGCAACATTGTTTGACATTCCATGATTGTTATTTTCCTGAAAGCTAGTTCACAATTGGTCACACAATGAGAAGGTTTTTTATTTTTTTGAATTTCTGTGATCATAAAATAGCTTATATGATTTTAACATCTTATTTTTAAATCTATCACGACCAATTTAGTTGGTCATAATGTTGTATTGTGTTTTGATTGGACCATGGACCAGACATACGGATCATGCACGAAACACCGTTGGATCCAAGGGCAGCCCTCACCCCTCGCCTCCCCCACCAACCCCACGTGAGGCGAAACCCTAACTCTGTTGTCCCCCGTTTTCCATCCAACCCCGCCTTCTTTCTTTCTTTCTTTCTCTCCCTCCCTCCTCTCCCCCAATCCAGATCCCCCTCGTCCCTCTCGTCGTCCTCGGCGGCGGCATCTGGGTGAGCCATCGGGCTGCCGCCGACGACTGCGAGCGGTTCCTAGAGCGGCCGGTCATCGCACTGGAGGCACTGCTCCTGCCGCGTCTTCATCGTCTTCTCCTTCATCGTCACCAACCGCGTCCGGACCTCCCCCAAAGGCGAATCGGCGATGAGTTCCACCGGAGGCATCGCTGGCCGCGGCAAGGCGAAGGCGACCAAGTCGGTGTCGCGGCCGTCCAAGGCCGGGCTCCAGTTCCCCGTCGGCCGCATCGTGCGCTACCTCAAGGCCGGCAAGTACGCCGAGCTTGACGCCGACTTCCTTGTCTCTACTTCCCCTTCCCCAGCCCCGATCCTCTCTCTACTTCCTTGTCTGATCCCCTTTTTTGGGTTGGATTTGAACTGGTAGGTGACCTCCATGGACGACATCGACAATGAGGAGGAGGACGACCAGGATCTGCGTCCCACTGCCTCCCACTTCAACGCCGACCGCATCCTCGCTTGTTCCACCGGCTCAGTCCGCTGCTCCGGCCGCCCCCCTCTGTCCGCTCGCCGGCGGAGGGTTCGGCGCTTGTTTTTTCGGCAAGGTTGCTCTGGGGCGTGTGGTGGAAGGGGAAGGGGAAGGAGTATGGCGGGGAAGGGGAAGGCGGAGGAGGTGTACGTGGCGTCGATCGACCAAGGCACCACCAGCACCAGGTTATGTCGAGTACGAAAGTTCAGTCTTAACTGGAAACTCATTCAGTGTTTCAGGTTTGTCCACTAGGTGTTGTGCACTTTAATCTGTTGATTCGATTGTTAGTTAGGACTCGATGTGATGCCGAAACTAGGATCATGTGCTGCACGTGATTGATCTGCGATGATCTCAAGATGTCCTAGTGCTACATAGTGCTACATAGTAGTACAAAGCCAAGCAAACAGATCATGTATGCTCTATATAATAACCATTTGGACATCTGGATGTCCAGTATTACTGTCGGACAGCTGTTTGATGTGATTTTGCACCTGTAAAACTTAAACTGATTTCTACCTTCTTCTTCAGCAGGGTGATCAGGTTGGGGGGCTGGTGTCGGCCGGATGGACCAACGACACCCACAACATGTACATCAGCTCCATGGAGGCGTCCTTCATGCAGCAGCTCCGTGGGCAGCAGCACCACCACCACCACACCACTCCCGACAGGAGCATGATCCATGTGGGTAGTGGCCATGGGCTCAAGGTGCTCCAAGAGGGAGCCTCTGATAACCTCGGGTCTAAGAAGAACGTGCCTCACCCGCATGATGTTGGTCCACGAGGCCTGCCTGAGGATCCGTGGGCGAGGTGTTTCAAGCCACGTGATTCCGCTATGAATCATCGTGGTGATGGGGTTGGTGCTTCCGGTGGTGAATCGGGCACCGATACAGTTCAAGCGATGGCTCCAAAGCATGGAAGAGGAGTGAGCACTTGTGTCGGAGGAAATCCTATTGACAGAACCTCAGGTTGTTACACTTTTCATCTTGTTTGCTGATTGTTTCCTTCAGTGTATGTTTTGTTCAGTTTGACAGAAGTTTAGAATTGTTACGCGGTGTTGGCTGGCTGTTAGTCTGATATTAATTCAGAAGCGTTGATTTTCCTTGGTATATGTTGTGTTCAGTTCTGGCAGAAGTTCAGAACTGTTATGCAGTGTTGGCTGTTACTGTGATATGAATCTACAAGTGTTGATTTTCCTTGGTACATGTTGTGTTCAGTTTTGGCAGAAGTTCAGAACTGTTATGCAGAGTTGGCTCTTAGTCTGATATGAGATGCACATATATTTTTTGCATCTTATATAGGCATTATGACATGTATCTCTTGTGCCATGCTTCGTTACCAACTAGTTAGAGATAAATCAATTCATTTGGCTTTTGCTCACTGTTTTTACTGTCCTGTGTTGCTCATACTATACGTACAGCCTGTTGTTGAACTTTCTTACCCTGACGGCTGTAGTGTAAAAAGTGAAAAAAAAGACAAAACCTAGCTAAAACTTTCTTGCTTTGGACATCTAGTGTTAGCACTCTTAAGTATGGAGCCTTGAGTCAAGAGCTTCTTGTAATTGTAATGACTAAATAATGGCTGTATATCTACTACTGTCGTAGAGGTGACTGATTTTGTTCTGTACATTATAATAGCACATGCATGTGTGGAGTCCTGTTTGTTTTATATCTACTGCCTGCCATCATGTGCCATATTTTCTAAGTAGATTAGCACACGATCAGTGGTTTTTAGCAATTTTCTCATGCCCATGTGTGGTGTGGTAAACGGACAACACACTAGTAACTGCACAACTCTGAAATGCTATTGATTACTCATTGTTACACAATGCATGCACCTACAACTACCGGGATTTGTACTGGTTACTAAATGATGTGTGTTTTTCTTCAGTTTGATTGAAAAATTGTCCCCCTTTTTGTGCATGCATACATCTGCCCACTGAGCCACCAAACATGTTGTAAGGCTTAATCTGTCAATGGTGTGACTCTGTGTTTACATTGTCTCCTGGTAGAGTTATTATGCTTGGCTCTCTACTCTAGTAGTGCTGTCTGTAGAGGCGACCGTGATTTTGTTATACACATAATGATGTAAGTATGGGCTGCTGTTTGTTTCATATGTACTGCCATCATATAAATGTCTGCCATGTTCTTCATCTCCCCTCCCTCTGATTCCTTCTGCCTGCGTTTGTTTTGTGTCTTAGATTTGTAGAAGCTGACGCTGCTGTAGGTGGAACAGGAAGAAGCCCTCATGGCTGCTGCACATCTGAAGTGGTGAGCGCCACCCCATTTTTTGGTACTATGAAGTGTTAGTTGGTACTGTGAAGTGTTAGTTGATGGTTGGTTAGTATGTTAATCAAAGTATTCTTACATGTTGTGAATATATACTGCAAACACCAGATGTGCCCTCCCTCTGATTCCTTCTGCCTGCGTTTGTTTTGTGTCTCAGATTTGTAGAAGCTGCCGCTGCTGTAGGTGGAACAGGAAGAAGCCCTCATGGCTGCTGCACATCTGAAGTGGTGAGCGCCACCCCATTTTTTGGTACTATGAAGTGTTAGTTGGTACTATGAAGTGTTAGTTGATGGTTGGTTAGTCTGTTAATCAAAGTATTCTTACATGCTATGAATATATACTGCAAACACCAGAGTTGATCATTAAAACATATGTCGCTCCTATTTTTTGTGGAAAATGTACTAGTTATCTGCAATAAAAGCTAGACATGAACCAACTCTTGCTTCTAAAGGAACATAGTATAAATTTAGACCTTGTGTGTGATGCTATAGATTTATAAATTTTGGTTTATCTTATTCCCGAGCTGGCACTATAAATTTTGCTTTGTCTTGTTGATAATGCCATATGCCTTATGCAATCAGATTACATTTCTGTTTGTTATGGTAATATAAAAAATATTCGTGCTTTCAAAATTTTCACAGTGCGTGTTTCCCTTGTACTCAATATGCTTCTATTGGCTGATCCTTTCATTTTTGTTGTGGCATCTTTACTTTCACATGTGTTTTGTGTTCTGGAAGATGGAAGAGGAAGAAAACTTATTTTTGTTAAACTAAATTTTCTGTATTCTGTTTTGCTGTACGTATCATTTGATAGTTTTGTATAGGAACAAGTGATACTATTTTGTACGGCTTTATGGCCTGTGATGTAAACATATTTAGTGCTGAAATATGAAATGATTTGCAAAATTTGTCAAAAAGGAGGATCATTTGTACGAATATGTGAATGGGATGAAAAGAGTACTGGACCAACATCAGGATTGAATTATTATTTGAATGTATAAAAAGGCCGAATGTAAACTAGAAATGGGCTGGACAAAATTGACCTATATTCTTGAAAGCCAAACGTGCATAAAAATTGATGGGCGTCACAGTTGGGCTTGGCCCATGTAGCTAACAAAAAATAACAGAAATAAATGTATTAAATGGGCTGAATTGTTGGGCTCGGCCCATGTAAAGCATTGAATTGGACCGGGCTGAATCTTACCAACGACCTTCTCAATTGGTCGTAATTTTGCCACGTCAGATTGCCACGTCGGATCCGACGTGGTCTGGGTAGACCGCCAGTGACCAAAACAAAAGGTCATGGGTTCAATGACCTTCTGTTAAAGGTCGCTAATTTCAGTTTATGACCGCCAGCTTTTAACCTTCTGTTTTTTGTCACAAAAAGGTCGCAAATGAAAAACTATGACCTTTCAGCGGCCAATAGTGAGGGTCACAAGTTAACATATTTCTTGTAGTGTTTGTGAGAAGCTTATACCCGAACCTGCCCCAAATGCGACAATTTTTTTACCATGGCATGTTGATGCCGTTTCATGATAGCATGCCAAGTTTCATGAATTTCAGACGAGTTTTGGATTTACTAGTATTTAAAAACTAGGAATCTCAATGTTTCGCCGGCAATCAATAGTGTCCTGGTGTTTGAATTTCATTCTCATCTCTTGCATAGGACCAAGAAATTCACCCAAGGACACACATGTGATTTTTCAACCAACTTTAGTGCATTGGAGCATGTGCTTGCAGTTCAAATTTGAATTATGGACATAAAATGCCTAGAAAACCCAGTTAATGTATAAAAAGGCCAAACGAACCCCGAAAAATTCCAAGATTGAACACAACACTCCTGTTGTTCTATGTTGACACTAGAAAAAAATTGAAAGCAATAAGAGGCAACGGATATCGTCCCGTCACCAAAGGTGGTACTTTCCCTATCGAAACCATCATGCTTGTTATGAGAAGTTCTGGTTTTTGAGAAGCTTATACCCGAACCTGCCCCAAATGGGACAAAATTTTCACCACGACATGTTGATGCCGCTCCATGATAGCATTGCCAAGTTTCATGAATTTCACACGAGTTTTGGATTTACTGGAATTTAAAAACCACGCATCTCAACGTTTTGTCGGCAATCAACAATGCCATGGTGTTTGAATTTCATTCCCATCTCTTGCACGGGACCTAGAAATTCACCCAAGGACACACATGTCATTTTCAATCAACTTTGGTGCATTGGATCATGTTCTTGTAGTTCAAATTTGAATTATGCACATAAAATGCCTAGAAAACCCAGTTGATGTATAAAAAAGGTCAAACGAACCCCAGAAAAATCCAAGATTAAACACAACACTCCTGTTGTTCTATGTTGACACTAGAAATTTTTTGAAAGCAATAAGAGGCAACATATATCGTCTCGTCTCCAAAGGTGGTACGTTCCCTATAAAAACCATCATGCTTGTTGTGAGAAGCTCTGGTTTGTGAGAGGCTTATACCCAAACCTTCCCAAAATGGGACACAATTTTCACCACGGCATGTTGATGCCGCTCCATGATAGCATGCCAAGTTTTATGAATTTCAGACGAGTTTTGGATTTACTAGAATTTGAAAACCAGGCATCTCAACGTTTTGCCGGCAATCAACAGTGCATTGGTGTTTGAAATTCATTGCCATCTCTTGCATGAGACCTAGAAATTCACCCAAGGACACACATGTGATTTTTCAACCAACTTTGGTGCATTGGAGCATGTGCTTGTAGTTCAAATTTGAATTATGCACATAAAATACCTAGAAAACCCAGTTAATGTATAAAAAAGGCCAAACAAACCCCAAAAAAAATCCAAGATTGAACACAACACTCCTATTGTTCTATGTTGACACTAGAATTTTTTTGAAAACAATAAGAGGCAACGGATATCGTCTCGTCCCCAAAGGTGGTGCGTTCCCTATCAAAACCATCACCTTGTTGTGAGAAGCTCTGGTTTGTGAGAAGGTTATACCCAAGCCTGCACCAAATGGGACAAAATTTTCACCACGGCATGTTGATGCCGCTCCATGATAGCATGCCAAGTTTCATGAATTTCAAAAGAGTTTTGGATCTACTAGAATTTAAAAACCAGGTATCTCAACGTTTTGCACGCAATCAACAGTGCCCTGGTATTTGAAATTCATTCCCATCTCTTGCATGGGACCTAGAAATTCACCCAAGGATACACATGTGATTTTTCAACCAACTTTAGTGCATTGGAGCATATGCTTGTAGTTCAAATTTGAATTATGCACATAAAATGCCTAGAAAACCCAGTTAATGTATAAAAAAGGCCAAACGAACCCCGAAAAATTCATTCTCATTTCTTTCATGGGACCTAAGCATGCACTGAAGGACACATATTTGATTTTGAACCAATTTGTATGCACCGGAGCATGTGCATGTAGTTTAATTTTGAATTGTGCACCTGAAATGGCTAGAAAACCAGTTTAATGTATGAAATGTCCAAAGGAACCCTGAATAATTCCTATTCTTTTACGACACACATATAGTTGCATGTTCACTGCAGATAAAAGGTCTAGCAATTCAAACACCGTCCATTGCCACTGTGACCCCATTTTGTAATTCAAATCAAGTAGATCCCACACAGTTTATTCTCACCAACCGTGTGAGATGTAGTAAAAAATATCTTGGAGCACCGTCAGTGTATAGTACGCCTATGGCTTACGCGAG